GCTGGAGGAAGTGTCTGGAGAAAGGGAAGTCTGGGCATCTTTGCTTAAACTGCTGCCCCCGCGACCCGGTTCCGGATAAGCGGAGGAAAATGGATGGATGGATGGATGGATGGAACTTGACATTTCTCTATTGTACATTACCCAGATTTGGGTTTGGAGAGTCGTTCATCCATTGGATAAGAACACTGTACACATCACCTAGGGCAAAAATAAGTACAAATGGGATCAGGTCACAAAGTTTCACTTTACAGCAGGGTACCAGACAAGGATGCCCACTCTCACCATCTGTATTCGCCATTGTCATTGAACCTCTAGCAGCAGCTATACGACAGAACAATATAATTAAAGGATTACAAGATACTTACTCAGAACATAAAATTAGTCTTTATGCAGATGATTTATTATTATATTTACAGGATCCCTATAATTCTCTACAGGAAACTTTACACATTATTAACATTTTCTAAGATCTCAAACTACACAATAAGCTGGAATAAATCCACCATACTACCACTCTCTGAGGATGGCTGGGATTCTGCAGCTCAAGGCTCCTCCCCCAGTTCTGCACAGGCAATGTTAAAAATCTTGGTATTAATATCTCTCCCAGGCTGCCAGAACTTTTTAATCTCAACTACACCCCCCTGCTAAAAAAAAGATAGAAGATAATGTCAAACGTTGGTCCAATCTTCCTCTCTCGCTCATCGGTTGAATAGCTACTGTCAAAATGAAAACTCTACCTCAGATCAACTATCTGTTTACAATGCTTCCCACAACACCCACAGATAAATGGTTTAAATCACTTGATTCTTTAACTTCACAATTTTATTGGAAAAACAAGAAACCCAAAATTTCTCTATCTACACTCCAAAAGAAGAAATCACTAGGTGGTCTAGAAGCACCAAATTTCCAATATTACTACTTGGCAAATCAGCTACAGTATTTGGTCAAATGGATTCAGAAGGATAGTTACAACAGTGCATGGATAGAATTAGAGCAAAATTACTGCAAAAATAACTCAAATAACTCAGTTGCAGACTTCC